TTTCTAATTTTTTTTAGTCATTTATGTATATATTTTTTGTTTTTTTTTTGTATTAAAAAGGTTTTATTAAAAATATTTAAAAAAAAAATAATTCACTGTAGGTACGTACCTATTTCTACTTATAATTTATATTTTTCCCATCATCTCTCTTATCTTGCCCCCCCCCCTCCCTGCCCATTGTCTGACGACGCCCCTTGACTTTACGCCTATATTTTCGAACCCGATGAACACGAATTTGAAGTCAGTTTAGCATCAGCCTCCACTATTTTCGAGAAAATGCACTCAGTTTATGCAAAAGGGCGTTTCACGAAAATACCAGAGAGGTATGCTCTTTAGTGTTCAATGTTTTTTTTTTTTACTTTAACGCTTCCGCGTCCAGCGAACTACTTTGTCTTCAAAACATCCATATAATGTGTCGTAATAATACTAAGTCATCTCCGGCGACCATTGATTCCACAACATGGGCTCGCAACGGAGACGTCGAAATAGGCATACGAGCCTCACATTGGGCGTCATGTCATTATAATACATGATATGTATCGGGGATTTCGCACTCCATGGTATCAGAACGTGGGTCTCGAATGCCTATTTCGACGTCTCCGTTGCGAGCCCATGTTGTGGAATCAATGGTAGCCGAAGATGACTTAGTATTATTACGACATGGCGCCCAATGTGGGGCTCGAACTCCAAGGGAGGCATCGACTGCCACCTACTCCCCACGTTCTGGTGCCATGGAGTGCGAAATCTTCGATAACGGCACGGTTACATCACGACATGGCGCCCAACGTGGGGCCCGAATGCCTATTTCGACGTCTCCGTTGCGAGCCCATGTTGTAAAATCAATGATCGCCGAAGATGACTCAGCATTATCACGACATGGCGCCCAACGTGGGGCTCGAATACCATTTTCGACGTCTCCGTTGGGAGCCCATGTTGTGGAATCAATGGTCGCCTAAGATGACACAGTTATATCACGACAAATGGGTTTAGTTTTCTCTTTTTACCTCTAACCTTATACTCCTTTTTCAACATCCCACTTACTCTGACACCTTTAAAGATTTATGTATTTAAAAAACAATTGAAAAACCAACTTTTTTGCAGGTACGCCTATTGATTTTTTTTTAATTGTCGAATACCTACACCGCGAAAAAAAATTATTTTCAACTCCGTGTAAGTAAGCCTCACAAAAAAATTGTATGGAGTAAATAAATTATTTTTCACTGATCTATCACTCTGAAATTTTCTGTAGATACGTAAAAGTAATACGCCCCAATAAGGACTGTCGACAAGAACAACTCGAATTGTTTCGCATTCCTCTCCTAAAGATTTCACCTTCATTACCCGGTATTGCTCTACAAAACGATCTTTACCTAAAAAAAAACGGTAGCAGCGCCTCGTAATAGGCGTTCTTCCCACAGGCCGGCGGTATTTTTCATGTGTTCCAGGCCGGTTACACAGCGGCGCGCTTTTTTCCCGACAGCACATACCAGCGCACCATTCAGTAATCATACAAATGTAATTAATGAATCTCGGTGATTAATAGCCGTCGTTCGCGCCGCAGAAGAGTGGCCGCCTCATTAGATTTATTACTTTTTATACATTTTTATGCTGTACGCGCTCATATCCAATTTAGGGCTGGAAACAATGGCTCGTAGGTCGGCAGCAGGCCCTCATTATCCGCAATGGACTTCATGCAGTTAATATTTGAAAGTGTTCTGTTTTCTGTTAAAATGGCACGTGCAATTAACGAAAGTACAGTTAAAATGTTAAGTCCTGACACACTTGTGTTGGGTTTTAGTCTTTATAGAGTTTATTTATCATTTCCTAGATTTATTTGATTCCTTACACTTTTTAAAAAACTATTTTTTTACAATTTACAATGTAAATATTCTTAAACATCTGTAATTCTAACCTCCAAATACGTCAATATGTGTAGTTGCGTGTTTTGACACTATGGCGCTGTAATTTATTTTCAGATCAGATTGCAGTATTTGGTCTAGGTCTAGGGACTTTATACGTCAGATACCTTTAAATGAACAACATATTTACTAATTTTAAACTCCCCCCATCTTATTAGTCAAAAGGAAACATTAGATGTATTACTAAACATTCAATTTAATATAAAATTACGATAAATAAGGTCTAACAACGAATTTAATGCTTTCAAAATTTCCTCTATGTTTTTAGTCAGAAAGAGGATTTATAAAGAGCAGATAGGGCTTTTCAAAACTGAATAATTTTTTATGGATGAAATTAACGGTTTTTGAATCAATCTGTCAGGTAGAAAACCAGTTGGTGGTAGAATACGATTAGTTTAGAAACAAGCTTTTACTATAGACAACGGAATTTTCAAAGGGAATTTTCTTTTGGTTATTTCACCTCGCCCTATTACTACTATTATGGCTAAACACCAACGCAAGGAGACGAGCAACCCCCAACCTGGAAATTTTTGCCGAATCCCCACTTTGTCGTAGGGTAGGAATTTTTTACTTGCCTAACATTGTTTAGACAAGGGACCAACATCCTTTCCGAGTGATGGTTTGTTTTTCTATACAAATCTCGACTAAATTTATATAGCTTCTGTGAATACACCAACATACAGGCCATTGGAAGATGGACGAGCATCGCGAGCCTTCTCTGGATCATCAGTGAGCACCCATCAAAGTACTAATTAGCCGCGATGAGCGTTGCTACTTGGATTTTATTTATGTTAAGAGCAAAACGTCATATTTTAATACCTTTTGATATTAAAAATTGGTACATTTTTGCTTAAACAACGAAAACTAACAAAATCGTATTGACTTACCAATTCAAAATAATGTTTAGCTTGTAACAAGTGCTACCTGTTAAATTGGTTAAATCAGAAACACGTATTCTTGCCACGGCTGAAATTAAAAATCAGTTTGATGCAAAACCGATTTCCATCGGTATTTTTCTAAAAACACCCATATGAATATTGTGACGTAATTGTTATTGAGTGGCTGATCAGTGACTAATCCTTAATTACTGCGTCACAATATTCCTTATCGACTGTGACACTTGTCACCACCATAACCAATACAGAAATCACAATATAATCTATAAGGACCCTGTTAGTTTCTTACCCAATTACGAATTGCTGTGTTTTCCTAACATTCTTTGATTATAGCGGATGTATTACTAATAATGGGCCTAAGAGAAGGGGCGAAATCCTTGAAACAAAATGACTATCAAAAGCAAAAAAAACGAAAATATAATTTCAACTTTGACACCCTGTATCTTTTTTCAGGGCCACATTTTTCTAAGACATATTTTGCCCTTGGACTTTTGTCCATTATTAATGGCCCACCCAGTATAACAAAAAAAAATTGATTTTAGTGGATCATACAATATGGATGTCCCCTTTACATACAGGGTCGGAAACTCCCCATGGTTCATCGGCCGTTACGTGAGAGCGATAAAGTAAGTCATAGAAATCCATGCGGTAGAGAAGGATGGCTATAATGAAGGCGTCTCATAATCACCGCCCGTTTCGCCCTTCCACAAATAAGATCCACTTCCACTTGTAATTCAGCGACCGGTGGTCATTTTTGTTTTCGTCGTTTGCCTTTTCTATAATAGATGTCACTACTTATACAATTTCGACTTCGTATTCCGATATGTTAATACAATCCGTTAACAGAGGGCAACACAAATTGTCTAAGGTGAGGCGCAGCCCTAGAAAAAGTGATGCCAGATCTACAGGTTTTTTTGGAATTGGGGAAATAGGGAATTTTGCTTTATTTCTTGGGATTTTTAAGTCATTTTAAAAAGTATACAAAAGTATACTTAAATAACAACTAAATGAACTTTAAATGCAGCTGAGCACTAAACTCCATTTGAATAACTTCTCAGTAGGGGAAACAAGGTCACTAGATCTACAAACAGAGGTATCTACTAGCTACTGTAAAAAGTTTTCTTTGTTACGCGTTGTGCTGTACTCTGTTAACGGATGGTATTAACATATCGGAATACCGAAGTTGAAATTGTATAAGTAGTGACATCTATTAAAGAAAAGCCGAACGACGAAAACAAAGATGACCATCGGTCGCTGAATTACAAGTGGAAGTGGATCTTATTTGTGGAAGGGCGAAATGGGCGGTGACTATGAGACGCCTTCATTATAGTCATCCTTCTCTATCGCACGATTTCTATGACTTACTTTATCGCTCTCACGTAACGGCCGATGAACCATGGGGACTTTCCGACCCTGTATATGTAAATCTTGTAGTAATATTATTTGCTAGCTCGTCCAGCTCATTTTACAGGAAATAAAACATTAAAAAAATATGTAATAAAATATGGAGTAAAAACCGTCATTAGAATCTCAAGAAAACTGCTGTTCTGTATTCTACGGTCTAACTTCCAGTAAAAATCTTATTTTGTCAAATAATTTAAATATGTATATAAAACAGATTCTAAAATTTTACGAATTTGTCGAAACCAGTTTAATCAAAATAATTTGGTAGTATTAATTTTTATCAAATTTGATTAAAATTTTATTGTGGGTAGATATATGTCTGGTGGTTCTACTAGTGGATGATTTTAACCGATGTTTACCAAACATATCCGCTTTCATTTTATTGCCGGACGAAACTTTAGTTCGCAGAGTAGTTATTTCTCACAATACCATTAGAAAATTTATATTTTGACATAGACCTATGTATTATTTTATGAATTTTTTAAATTTTGTTCGATTACCACCATAGAAGTAAACAAGCTACAGGTTACGTTTTTTCATTGGGTGGGTTTTAGAAGTTATCCGCTTGTCTATATCCGAAAACAATGAATTATAAATTACACTCCTTTGGCTACTTTATAGCGCAGATGGTTTTATTTTGTTTCGGGCCGGCCGTTTTCATATTAATGATAGATATAATTGAGTTTTATCCACATTAAGCCAGAGTCCATTAGCAGCACAGAGTTATACTTTAGAGTTAATTATAATGACTGATATCAATAACACTGTGTGTTCCTCGCAGGGACGACCAACCCAAGAGGCCGGCGCAGAAGAGGAAAATCAAGTCCGTCAGTCTGACCACGTCGGAGTACGCCAGCGGGTTGGCGCCTAACAAGAAGAGGAAGAAGAAGAAAGACGTGAATTGAGATTGGTTATGTTGATATTAATATTTTCTTAATAAAGTGTATATTGTTTTTAAGGATTTTGTTAATTATTTGGACACGCAGAGCAATTAGAGCAAATTTTGAAAATAAAAATTAATTTGAAGAGCCTGTCAGAATTACGCAGTACTTGAATTTGATTGACAATATTCGAGCATGCGCTATGCTTACTGCTTTATACTCGGCAAGTGTTTTCGTCGCATATAATTAAAAAGTTGGAAAAGGGGTAAAATGCAATGGTCGAGTCTAGGAATATTTAATAATTCAAATCTTCACGTCTCCTTCTAATTCATGTAACTATCGACCCTAACCGAAACACAATTAATTAATGAGGAAAATTCACGAAATATAAAAACTCGTATATTCTTTAATAAAACTTAGTCATCTTCTTCCTTTGCTTCCATATTTGTTAGTATACCGACTTAAATGGATTTTCTTCTGCTTCTTCTTCTTTTCCTATTGGTTGGTTCTGATAAGGCTCATGGTACCGCGGCCTTAATAGACCTATTGTTCGTCCCACTAGTTAGTCCTATTCAGCAAGTAATTTTGTCTTTTTAACAAAGTCCGAAAGCTTCCTTGCTGACATTTCTCTCAGTTCCTTGGATTCCAAATAGAGTGTCCCCAGGAGTGTCATTCTACTACATACAAAACCCGAGCACTCGCTTAGGATCTGTGTTTTCTGCGACCATAGTGCTATAAAAATTCCTAGGTCTTACTATCGATGTGTACATCCAGAATGACATCTTTGGCTTCAGCTTCTCCCAATAACGCGACGACAACGGCATACACACAATGTCTGCTTCGCCTTACTCACCACTTTTTCCAGTGTGCATTCCAGGTAAGCTTATCATCCAGTATTACTCCTAGATGTTTTACTTCCCTGGAAAGCCGAATACATCTCTCCCCTGTTATAGGTTCAGAGAGTCCAATCAAATTTCTTCTCCTGGTGAAGGGTACTACGACCGTTTTGTCAGGGGTTACTGACAGTGCCTGCCCCTTACACCAGTCATCTATCCATTTCAATGCCCCTTTCATGAGTTCACGGATGAAGTAATTTTGATAGAAACACTGGGTTTGAATTAAAAATTATAAATTTTTTATTGATTCTTACAGTATAAAATCCACGGCCTTCAAGGCACATGCGCACACTTCTGTCGAAATTTCCATGACCATTTTCCATAAATGCGGCTGAATTTCGCTGATACAGCGCACAATTTCCTCCTTCAAGGCTTGAGTGGTCGTGGGGTTACCTTAAAATCCAACGACGTTAAATTGCATAATCTGGGAGGCCAATTCTGATCACCTAGACGGGAAATTACAGGACCAGGAAATTGTTTCTCGATATGTAGGGCATACCACATGTCTACATGGGAAAGTCATTAACTGTTATTGCCTAAACAGCCTCATTCTCGAAGAAGAATGGTCCGATGATGCCTCCAGTCCAAAATCCACACCAAACAATGACACGTTGTGAATGCATTTGCTTCTCAACAATCACTGTTGAATTTTCTGAGCCCCAAATGCGACAATTTTGTCGATTAACGAAATCTTCAACATGAAAATGAACCTTATCGCTGAAGATGATTTTCTTCGAAAAATCAGCATCCACTTGTTCCATAATTCATCCAATGAACTCTCTTCGCTCTGCGTTTTCCGTACGCTTCAGTTCTTGAGTCGGTTGAACTTTATAAGTATGAAGATGCAAATCTTTCATGAGAATACGTTGTAGAGAGCTTCTCGAAATGTCCAATCACTATTCCGACCATATTTTGTACGAAAATTGCGAACTGTAGTTGCCAAACCCTCATTTTTTTTAAAATATTGTTCAAACTTGAAAATGGGTTCTTCTTTCGTGTAGCACTCCATATTTAATAACACTGTGAACTGTAATGCTGTCGTTTTTTTTTCCGTTGGCACACTTTACCTCACAAATGGCGCAAAATTCAAGTCTTGCGTGAATTTTGGGACATCTGATACTTAGGAAAAATAGAAATAAAAATTTAAAATGAATATGAATGATTGATGATAATAGAGAACTTGTTGAAAACCGCTGACTTTATTTCACAGTAAGTATAACATAAATAAATTATACAGAACTCTTAAACTGCAAATTTTTATATGGAATAAAAAAAAATTATAACTAGTAATAATATATTTTTTAATTATTCCACAATATTTTTAAATAACTTCATAAGAATCAATTAACTATTTCCATATACAATAATATCGAACTTTTACTGTATGGAAACCTTACTAAATATATACATCAAGTATTTGTTTAACTTTTGCTATATTTCTTAAAAATTTCTTAGATTTACATGTTCAATTAGCCACCTTTCCTTGATATTTCTAACAAATGTGCCCACGCCCTTGGCTTTTACAGTATTAACTTATAAAGCAGGTACTTCCGTTTATTTATTATTTTATACTTTGTACCCAATTGCTTATAAAATTTTTGCCGCACGTGCACTATTTGCGCAGAGAATATGCTTTTAACCTTTCTACCATTTTACGATTCGTGTAAATCACCTTGAATACATCATAGTTCACTACAAATTGTTTAGACCTTTTTAAGATCGAATAATGTTTTGGCATCACGGCGCCATCTATGTGACTGTGTTAGTAGTAAAAGTTATATCACAAGATTTAAACCACTGACCATGTTTACAAAACTAAAGAGAATTGTGAGGGGAGTTTTTACTGGGATACCTTAACCTTTAACCGAACTTAACATAATCTAATACGATCTAACCTAACCCATATTTCATTCACCTCATTTAATAGTCTCGCTGTATGTTTATTTATTAAGAAATGAGACCAGCAATAAAAAGAAAAATAAGTAAGAATTCTAAAATTGTAAGAAAATTTATATAAAATTTGTCCTGCACTACTAGTATGGAAAATTGTAATCATTATTTTGTATGTACATCTTGGTATCTTGATGACGTATTATTTCTGTGACATTTTAGATTTTAACCCGCAATTCCTCAATCGTGTTAATTTCTGCTTTGAAAATTAACGTTTTTAATTTTCATTTGTCCTCAGTAAGTCACGGGAGCGTGATTGTTTTCATTTATGTAATCACGAATTTTTCATCGGAAATAATGGTACGCATCATGTCAAAACCACAAATATTTAACATATTTTTTTAAAAAATTCTGGTACATTATGAGATGCTGCTGCAGTGTTTTTCCAGCGTTCACCGTAAATTAACATGTCAACAAGTTCATTATTCTCATTCATGCCAGTTTATAGTATCACTAACTTATTCTAATTACAGGCATGTTGGAACATTTGCCTAATCTCTGACAATGACAGTAAACTTAGTTTTCAGACACCACCGACACGTCCAATTTGTATGTGTATGTATGTATGTATGTATGTATTACTGTAGACTCGTCAGCAAGTAAGGCGTTAAAGGATGAAATACATGGATAATGCTTTTTTTGTACTTAACAAACACCTGCTAAAAGGAATATGCCACTTTTAATGACACCCTGTATAGTTTACTAATCGCCTTTATAGCAAATTATTTCCTGGCCTAAAAACCAAGTTTACGTATACTAATTATGCTTACGATATTAAAAAAAAAACAGGTGGCCCTAATAACCGTAGAGATTTCTTATTTGGATTTCCGTAATTAGGAGTGATGATCCTTACAATCTCGGGCCAGCGGCGGCAGTTAATGCGTTTTATTAAGGCGTGACTAATTGAAAAACAAAAGGCCATTAATTTTACCGACTAACAGTCTCTTAAGTGTTAATCTATTTTACCTAAATTAATAATTTATAACGTGAGAAAATCCAATACCCGATTCTGCCGACGTCACTGTTACCGCCCGTCTGAGAAAATTGCAATTACGAGGAAACCAGTTTGTTAAACGCTCCTGTTTATTTTAAATAATTTTATTTATCTCCCATTATTTTACTGCAGATGGAAAACTCTCATACAAACTCAACTTTTACATTGAAATTTGGAAATTAAAGGATGAAATTGACCGTCAACATCCAATCCGTTTGATCTTGGCGGAGTGTCAAGTCGCTCTACTAATGCTCAATTAGATGATGGTCACGTGGTCACAAGTAAGTATATGGTGATCACACATGCATGTAGATCCAGGCTAAGTTTTTTATCCTTAGGAAACACATGAAATGAAATTTTTAAATTGTCTTGTTTAGCACTATAAAAATTATTAATTCAAATTGCAACACTATACCTCACGCCTGGCATTTTTACGTGGTAAATTAATAATTTATATTGAACACTACACCATTAACTTATTAAAAACTATTATTAATAACTAATTAGTTATTGAAAAATACTCACACAACTATGAAAGATTTACTTAAATAGAAAAATGTAAAATTATTTGTTAAGTCGTATGTAAACAAACATGATTCCTAAATGTGAGGAATCTTGTGACGTAGTATGAGTTAAGCCACGCTCATAATTTCTGCCGTCTTCTTTACAGACCTTGGTAGCTATTGAATAAGTTATGTTGCTTCCAATATTTATCACCGCATTTGTCTCTATCTCAAAGTTACAGAATGTTGATGGTTATACAAACGAAGAAATTTATTTTAGGTCTGGAAATTGGAGTTGTTAGACCCCTCGAATAGCTTCAAATTGTAGTTAGAACTGTTAGTTTAAATCTTTTTGTATAGATGGCGTGGCGATAGTAAAAAATTTTTTGTTCCCTGGAATGTGAAAATACAGTCCATCTGAAAGATCGTTAAATTTTGAATAATTTTTATAATATAAAGTTTTTCCTTTTTTACTGGTTTTCGAAATATGTCGACTTTAATATGCAATGTATGATATAACAAGAAAATCTATTATTTTATCACACCGAGACAAAATATTATTTTATAATATTGTTATAATGACTTTATTCACACCACGTACTAACTAACAAAAAATAAATTATAAAAAAACAAATGATCAACTACATAAAAAAAATTGTACAATGGTAAATCGTATAACTAGTATATAGTTATATTGAAATACGCAAACTGA